GATTCATTAGCATTGTCAGTGATAGGGATGGAGAGAGAGATTAAGGGTAGTGATGAGAATTCTATAAAATAAAGCCAGTTCCATCACATGATGGAATTGGATTCAAGGCATTTTTGCTAAATAGAGGTTCTTGAACATCTAGGTTCATGTGTGCCAAACTACTCAACTGCATGATTTTGGTTCATTTTCGTTTCTCTTCAACCAATTCTAGCTAGGTTTCCAAACATAACCTAATTTTCAAACATAAATTCCATAGCATTATAAAAGAGATTATCTCTCAGTGTTTCTCTCTCCTATGGTTTCCCTTGTGAGAGTGGGTCATCATCAACCTTGCAGAGTGTGCTCCATCAAGACTTCCCCCATCATTCCTCATCGAAGGGCTCTCCATGTGATAGCGACATGATTGACAAATCTCTTTTCTTAACTCACGTTAGGTGAGAGTGAGTAGAATATTATTGCTTTCGGTTGGAGTGTGTGTAGGTCTGGGTGCATGTGTGGAGGAAATCAATCAGGACACAATGGCAAAATATTTGAAGCACTATGGATTGACAGATCGAAGGTGATAGGCAATAGTCATATTTGGAACTAATTGTTCACTAAGGTTGGGCCACAAGTGGGTAATGTATGGAGGTACTCTATTTGCATAGAAATAGCAGATGATTATCTTTGTTAGGTGCCATTTGATTTTGTATTAGTTACATTGGATTTGAAGATGAGGAAGAATAGGTCCACGACAAGAATAGAGGTATTGGTGCTTGAATTGTAGGGTGTGATGATTGATGTTAAATGCGAGATGATTAGTCAAGAGTTTTATGGATGGAGGATATATGATTGAATGTACTAAGGTTAATGTTTCAATTAATTCATAGTTTCGAATCCTATTCTTTATTGTACAATTATTTTTCTCATATTTACTTTACAATCTTTGTTTGCTTGATATGGAATTGTTGTATAGACTTGCATGACTATTTTTGGTTAATTGTCCTATGTATTAGAAGCCACTCTTGGCATACAACAGCAAGCCTTATCCCACTAGGTGGGGACAAGCTACATACTCTTGATGTAAAAGGGATTTTTCATTATCTAAGGTACTAAACAATGAGCGCAGATAAGTCTCGCCTATATAAACCCTTTTATTATTCTATCTTATTCCTCCCTTAGAGCTAGAATGAATCAAAATCTAAACTCAAAACTAAGTGATTGGCAACTACCTTTTATGCTATTGAAGAGTGTAGAGCTGGGAATAAAACAAGAATAGGGATCCATATTGAGCCATCCTTCTTAGTTTCGCAACATCAATTGAATCGACAGACACAAAGACGAAGATAAAGATGAGCTAAGACATAAAGTAGTGGAATGGAAAACAATGATAACCCACCCAAAAAAGCATATAAAGTAAGGTTGGCTCTATGCAAGAGAGGAAAACTGTATGGACATGGTTTTTCTTTTGGATAGATCATTAAGCAATTTACCCACATCTCTATTATTGCGAAGGTGAAATCAAATCCATTACATCAGGATTGAAACTTGAGGACCTCGAGAACCAAAGATAGAGGAAGATATAAGCAATATAGCATATTGGAAAATGAATAGGAAACTACCTTTAGAGAGAAGAGAGAAGGCCAAGCTGAAATGATATTGCCATTCCTTGATCAAAGCTCAAAGGGGAAAGGACTGAAATAAAATAAATAGGATTGGCAAAACCTTGAAATAAATCCAACCTGATAAAATAAACTGATAGAGCAATAATGGGTTAAGCACTTCTGAGTTAAGTGATAGTAGGGCGTGCTAATCCTCAACCTAGGGAAGTGTCAAAAAAGGGGAAAATCTTCTCTTTTGGAGAAAGAGAGGAGATCCACCTTTTAGACCTGGAGGAAGTAGAATTCCTAATATGGGTACGAAGGGTCATCCAAAAGTGTTGAAAGGGCTGGAGGAGAGGGGTGGTCTTCCCTTTTAAAAAGATAAGGTGCATTAGAAAGGATCTAGTTGGAACTTTTTTTTTTAATTGTAGCATGTGTGAGAATGAGCCCAGTTTCAACTGGTCTAAGAAATTGTGTTTATCTAGATTATTAGAGGACTGCTTTAGTATGCTTGAGGTGGGTTCTATTTTCAAGTTGGAGGTGTTATAACTTGGATAGAGTTTTTGGGTTTGCAATAAAGTTTTATGACTCTTTGATTATTCAAATTCTCCAGATTTATATTGGATGGCTAATGGTTGGGTCAAGAACAAGAATTAATGTAAAGAGTTCATATAGCAGGTTGATGGAATCTCTAAGTGAAAGAAGTGATTTGGTGGAATATTCTTCGTTCAAATATGAGGTGTTTGCTTTAGACTATGGTTTGACTTGCTGTTTTGAGGATGGTCATGTAGAGGTTTTAGTTCATTCTAATTTGTCTTCCACTAGTTCATATTGTTAGAGGAGAAATTTCTTGATTGGGGGTTGTAATTTTAGTGGAGGAATTTATTAATCTTAAAAAAACTCTTAGCTAACTCCCATTGCTTTAAGTAAATTCCATTATATTATAATGAAACTATTATTTGATGTGCTTAACCCACATTTAGAAAAAAGTACCAAAAAGATTGGATATTACAACCCCTCCTCCCTTGGTAAATGTTCTTGCTAATAGTTTGTTTATACAAGATTAATATGTCACAAAATTTTTGCCAAAATTATTGAGTTTTTACTTGTAAAAAATGCTAAAATTAATTCTTAGCCCCCACTATTATGTAATTTTACATTTTGGTCCCCTTATTGAGCCTATGGCTGGGAATTCCTATCTGTGTTTTCTTTGTTCCCTCGGTCCTTTAGCTTTGCTGTTGCCAGCTACTTCTTTTTTTTTAATACTGTTTTTTCTTTTCTACTGCTACTTTCTGTTTTTGACAATGGGATGTGGTTGCTGGTCTAGGGGAAAAAAATCCATTGCATTAAAATCATTTTTTTCTTAAAATTCAACTTGCAAATTATCAGCTCTATCTGAGTTCAATTTCACCCAACTCTAAACTAAACCAAACTAAACAAACACCCGTACACTTACGCAAAATTGCGCGTGTGGGTTAATTTGAATTTGAATTTAAAATTCCGTGCAAAATGGACAAAAATTGGTACGGCGGAACATGACCGACGTGATTATCATTGCAGCGTGTCCAACATAGTTATGGCGGCAGAGGCTATCCTGTTTAGGCCCATCAAGAGTACATGTTACCACATTGCTAATTATTCATTTTTTATAGAAATATATAGTTTATTTATAATTCGAAAAAGAAAAATATAATTAAACTTACTCCCATAAAAGGCAAAACCCAATCGCTGTAATTGTACGCACCTCTGATTGCCAGCCGTGTGGGGACCACATGTAACTATCTATAATAACGCCATCTGGGCCATCACATTTGAATAGTAAAAGAAAACACCAAACTCATGATACACGTGGACACACACACAAATATAAAATAATACTTTCTTCATTTCTATTTTAATGTATTTCTATTCATTTCATCAATATTAATATAATAAAAATATAATAAGTAAAATTTTAATATAAATTTTAAATAAAAGATATAAATAAAAAAATATATCTTTTATTTTTTAATAATAATTTAAAAATTTTAATTTAAAATAAAATAATTCATTATACAAACTTGAGAGGGCTATGTTTCAAATCTACTGCTTTAGGTCCTAATCTTTCCTTTTGCTTTTATTTGTATTAGAACTTGTAAAAAAATAGTAATCATGGGATGAGATAAAATCTCAATAACCAAAATAATCTAAAACTATCTATTAATAAGTAAAAGCATAACAAGTAAAAAAAACGTTAATACCATTATATTATCCATATATATATACACATCCATTTTCATAAATAATTATTTTTGTATGTATGATCATCTTATCTAGTCGAACCTCCATAGCCATCCTAGTTGAACCCGTAGGCCTCAGTGGATCAATTCTATGTAAACTAATCTAAACACACTTTATATGGTAAAGCTACTTGGCCAAATGTGTTATGTTTCACTTCTTAACCATAAATTTCCCTTATCACATACGCAATCGGAGTGTTGTTATTTTAATAGTGTATCAGCAAAATCTCTAACACGACACCCTTTATGGGCATTAAGGAGAGAAATTCTCAAACACCATATAACATTCTAAAAATTTGATCTTATTAGTTAGATTAATTAAGAAAAAGTATGAGAAGTAGAGAAAATATATTTAAGTGTCCAACTTTTTTATGTGAAATTATTTAGGAGCAAAACTTATAGGATTAGCTAGGTTTTGAATGGAGCTTTTTATAGACACATTCACCTCAATTAAATGTTAAATAAAGAAATGGGGTAGCTATCTGTAATAACGGCAAACTCACGACATTTGAATAGTAAATGAAACGGCAAACTCATGACACACGTGGACACACGCACACAAACAAATATAAAATAATACTTCCTTTATTTCTATTTTAACATATTTCTATCCATTTCATCAATAATAATATAATATAAATATAATAAATAAAAATAAATAAAATTTTAAATATAACTTTTAAGTAAAAACATAAATAAATAAATTATATAATATTATTTTTTATCTTTTATTTTTTATTTTTTAATTATATTATGAAAATTTTAATTTAAAATAAGATAATTTTATCGATAAGTGATTTATAAAGTAAAATAGATTGTGTTTTTAGAGAGTGATTAATATACAAAGCTGAGAGTATCATAGTATAATTTATTTTAAGCCAATCGCATGTAAGGCAGGGATTTCTCTTGTATTGATTGGATATCTAAGGCAATGCCGGTGCCCATATAAAGCTGCAATTAATGAAATTAATTTACCCAAAAGGCAAAAATAAAAGTGAAGATAAGGTAGCAAGATTTAAAATTAAAAAAAAAAATACAGCAAAGCCTGTCTGCTATCTCCTCCAGGACCCAGTTTCCTCAATCTCACCAAGAAGTTCCGTTTGCTCTCCTCTCCAAGACGCACTCTCTCTCACTCGACACGGTCATCCCATTACAGAATATTCTGGTAAGAAATGAGAACTTTTCCACCATTTCTTATTCATTTTCTCTTTCCTTTCATAGATCTGCAGTTATATCCTGACTCTCTCTCTCTCTCTATATGATTATCTGTCTCGATTTACGCCCAGAGCATAATATTCTGCATAATTGTTCTTTTTATGAGACTGGATTATTCTGTAGATTTCCCTAATTTCCATAATTTTGATTTGAATCTGTTTGTGTTTAGTTTGAAATGACGAGAAGAAAGATAGCGATAGAGAAAATAGAGAACGTAGCAGCGAGGCAAGTGGCTTTCTCAAAGAGAAGGAAAGGTCTATTCAAGAAGGCCATGGAGCTCTCTACTCTCTGTGACGCTGAGATTGCACTCTTCGTGTTTTCTGCTTCTGGCAAACTCTTTGATTACTCTAGTACAAGGTATCCTCTCTCTCCCTCTCTCTCTCATTTTTCTCGAGCTTTGAGAGCCACTTGATAGACCAAATAATTCAGATCCAAATTGTTTCCATTGTACTTTTTCTTAGGAAAAAAAAAAAAGTGAACTGTATATATACATATATATGCTGATAAAAAAAGGTGTGATATCGTCCATGCGTTTATTGGGTCTTTATCCATGTGTGTGCATATTCAGTAATTTAGGTGGACCAGAATATTGGACTCAATCCGAATCAGACTTATTTTTTCAAAGAACACTTCAGGAGAGTTAGCCTTAGAGCACTCTTTCATATAAATATTTTTTTAATTTTTTTATTTTACTCTTTTAAAATTCTTTTTAAAAGAACACTGGGTTAGCCCTTTTGAAAAAAGGTTCCTCAAGGATATAAATATTTTTTTAATTTATTTATTTTACTCTTACGGAGCACTTTTTAAAAGAGCAATTCAAAAAAGTTAACCTTTCTAAGAGTGTTCTTTTGAAAGAGCGCTCCTAAAGAATATCAATACTTTTTTTATTTTTTATTTTACTCTTTTGGAGCATTTTTTAAAAGAGCGTTTCGAAAGAGTTAGTCCTCTAGGAGCACTCCTAAAAGATATCAATATTTTTTTAATTTTTTTATTTTACTTTCGGAGTGCTTTTTAAAATAGGAGCACTTTTTAAGGAAGTACTCTAGCATGTTTTGTCTCACTTTTTTAGAGTGCTTTTTTGATTAAGCGCTCTTAAAGACGCGCTTTGAAATATGTATTTTGTAGTAGTATAAAAAAATTGATATAATTAAGTTTGGCTCTAACTTTTTTTTGGTGGGCAAAATTTCAATTTATATACATATAGAGCTGAAAATTCCAGCGATTCGACTTATTCGGGTCGGCTCAATTCAGGCGGGTTTATTTGGATTGAGCTTAAAGTATCATATTCTCTTTAAAAAGATCATATAATCAAGTTTGGCTTTAACTTTTTTTGAGTAAGTTCGAGCTTGGCCCGAATTACTGTGTGGGTGTATCTTAGAATTATTAATCATATTGGCTTTGAAATAGTGAGTAATTTCATCATGACTGCTTGTCTTGCTTACAAATTCAACTTCTTATATATGCAATGTCTTGAGGTTAATTACGGCTACATAAATTCTGAAGTGGTTATATAGTTTGAGCATTGAAATGTCAGCTTAACTCACATTAGTCTTTGAATAGGCTATGGAATTTGTTGAATGTTTATGTAAAAACATGTGTAGTATCAACTTTTAAAGATTCAAATACTACAAAATAGTGGTTAGAAATTAACGAAAATATCATATAATATCTTCATTAAAAAAACAAGGTATTTTTAATTTTTGAAGTGTAATCATTGTCTTTTTTTTAAGTGTTCTTATTGATAAATGACTTTATATTTATTGTAGGGGTGTTTAATAGGGGTAAATATAAAAAAATAAGGTTAGTTTAAAATAAGTAACTTTTTATTATAGGACAAAATTCAGTTAAAAATACTTTACATTTTTAAACAAAAGGAGTATATCATGTATATGCGTGGATGTCTGTAGGAACAATGAATTTCATAAACATATTTCAGCGATCCATATGTTTTTATTTATTCCAAGATGTTATTTGTCTTTTGCAAATATATGAAGTGTTTCTAAATTTGTGGAAGATTACACTATTTATAAATCATAAATAATGTTATTTATTAGTTATGAATAATATTGTTTGTCTTAGATTCTATAAAGCAAAAAAAAAAAAAGGCCTCAAAACTACTATTCAAGCTGTGCTAGTACTGCATTTCCTCTCTATATCACTTGAGAGATATAGGCTGCGTATATCTTTTTTTTTCATTGTTCTGATCTTAATATTTTTATTTTACTTTTTATTTAAAGTTACTTTTCAATAATTCTGTTAGAAAATTGTGTTTATTTGTATGTTATTTTCTTCAAAATTAAAAATATTAAAAGGTCAGAACATGTGAATCATCTAGTTTAATTAACTTAAACTTCCTAAACAATAAAGTACAAATCCGGCATGCCTTTAATATATTAGAGGTAGATCCAAAGTTAATTTTTGGTTCATGATTTCCTTTTGTTGATTAACTAGATTAAAACATTCCAAAGAGGTTATAAAAACATGTTACTAGAACAGTCAGGTCATTCTTGTTTTGAAGATACCTAAAATTTTCTAAGGCTACATATATCAGCTTATATTAAAAAAATATTGATGTTTGTGTGTTATAGCTCTTGACGTTTCTCTTATTGTCTTCATATATTGATCTTAACTGATTATTGTGCAATGCGTGGCTCATTTATTAAATGAGTTGAATGATTTAATGTTCATTGAGTTGATGGAGTCCAAAGTATGATGATCGAACTGATCTTTTGGCTGTTTACGAATTAAGATAAATTAAATATCTAAATGTTATTATTTATATTTGAATGAGCCTATGTATGCTGGATTAAGATTCAATTTAGACGAATTATAGTACACATTATCACGTATTTATCTCTTAGTAAAACATCTTTCTGTAGGTTTGGCGAAGCCATTTGGAAGAAATTGGTGCATAGATATATGATTAATTGCATATATAAGCATAAATGAATGCTTTATTCAAATTCACCCAATTAAATATAGCTTCCATTTAAATTTACATTTGATGAACAATTTTAATTGATCAAATAAAAATTTATAAAATTTAGGATAAATCATATTTATCCGATATAATTTGGCTAAAAATAGTTTTCCACCTATAGTGTATAATTTGGCAACAAACATGACGTCATTTAATTAAGAGTTGGCGAATGAGAGCAAGAGATTGCTAATCTTTTCTTGTTACCATATGCATAGCCTCCCTTTGTGTAGTACTTAAGGAAGCCTTATTTTAGGGGAAAATTAAAAATAATTGTTTTTTCAGCTTATCAAGTCAAAATTCAATATTTACATGTCAAATTTTTTATTTCAAGTATAGTTGGGACCTATAAGTAATTAATTTGTTTTTTACATGTGATTTATATGTAACTCTCTCCCTTATTTTAATTAGGTTCTTCATAACATTTCTCTACCATCTCTGGTTGATTAAGATTGACTACAAGTAGAATTTTATCAAGGTTTCAAAAACCGGATCAGTCATTGAACCAGATTAGCCACTGGTTTACGGTTGATTAGTTCAATCATGATCTAATCGTGGTTGAACCGGTTGATATTAAATTAATAAATTTTAATTTATGTATCATAATTAAATAAAAAATATATGCAAATATTTATATTGTTTTTAAAAAATTAATAAATACTTGGTAAAAGGATATATTATCGATGAATACATGATTAAAATTAATTATTCTTTGTTTAAATTAATTTTTTAAAATTTTTAATAATTCAAACCAGTTTTTAAGGGAACTGATTTGGTTTCTAACCAATTTTTCTGGTTTTTGATCGTTTTTTTGGGTCATTGATTGATTTCTTTGTGGTCGGTTTTGAGGGATCAATTGAACCGGACCAAGAGTCAGTTCTCAGTTTAATCGGTTGAAGTTGATGCTATTCGGATTTTAATTTATACAAGCATGCCAAATTCCATAATTATTATCTTTGGTAAATCAAGGAAATTAGACAATGACATGCATGGCGCGGCATATTTCTTTTTATAACAAAGATGGTTGAGGTCTTATACCACTAGATTGGAGCAATGTTGAACCTCTTAGCCATTGGTGGATAAAGAATGGAGAAAGATTAGTGGAGAAATATAAGGAAAATTCAATTAAATTCACTTTAATTTTTATTTTGAGATATAATAATGTGGAACCAATTTCTAATTAGATGATTGAGTAAGTTGTCTCTTATCGTTCAGTATATCTTCCAATCATATTCTTTCATTTGATAAATTTTCCCAATCTTCCAATCATATTCTATCATTTGATAAATTTTCCATTTGAGACCAACACACTATACTTGATTTAGTAAATTTACTTATAACCAACAAGATAGAGCCACAACATTAACTCATTAAGGCCATGTTTGGTTGAAACGAAGCAATCTCAAAAAATGGAGGAGAGAGATAATAAAATTCCTCTTAGTGTGTTTGGTAGGTCATAATATTTAGCTCTTTGGAAAGCTTAGCTCTCTCTCAAACATGGGAAGGAGCATTTCATTAAAATAGCTTATACCTTTTCATTATGCCCAAACATGACCTAAACTTCTAGTTGTTTGTGCATAAAATTGAAGTACACTATCTAGCTATAATTCATTTTTTGTTTCCTGAATAAGCATTTTAACTTGTTCAACCAATTGTAAAAGTTTAATTATACACAAAACTGGATTCAAATTTCAAAACTCACCAAAAGTAAATAATGATATATGCAAATACTTTCTCCTTTCAAAATATTATATATGTCATTTGAGGTGGTTTAGACATATATAAAGAAGACAATAGAAAGTACCTATGAGGAGAGTGGAACAGATAACTTTGAGCTCTGTCAAAAAGGATAGAGGAAGATCAAAGAGAACACTTTTGGAGATTGTTGAGTGAGACCTTTTAATTAACAATGTTCCTAAAAAAATGATAGAGTACAATAGTGCCATATAATCCATGTAGCCGACCTCACTTAGTGAGATAAAATTTCTTGTTGTTGTTGTTATACTCAAGATGTGTACTTGCCTTTGCATTAAAAAAATATTATTTAAGGTACCATAATATAGTAAACATAATAATATAATACAAACTAATTTGCAACATTTTTGTTGTTTAAAGCATGAGGCAGGTTATTGAAAGGAGAAACTTGTACTCGGATGTGAACCTTGTCAAGTCATTGCCAGCCATCCCAAGAGTTGCAGGTATAAAATAATTATTTGGGAAAATATAATTATTGGTTCAATAGTTTAAATTTATTTTATTTTTAGTCTCTGTAATTTTGTTTACTTGTTTTAAGTTCTTATAGGGATTAAAACTACTAAAAAATATTGAAACTATAGAGACTTGAGCGACAAACATCATCTAATCTTGTTGAAAATATAGGAACTGAAAACTATAAGAACTAAAAGCAAAATATAATAAAATTATAGGGATCAATAATTGTGTTTTTCTAATTATTTTATATACATAATTAAGTTCTTAGAGTGCATTAAAAAAGTAATTATTTTATTCTACGGTATGATAGACTATATATTATATTATGAAAATGCTTAGAGTACACTAAAACGTAAGTTTTTAAATTTGAAAATGTATTTAAATTTACTATCTGAATTATTGTTTGGATTGAACAAGTGAATCACTGAAAATATTCCTCTAGTTATGAGTTAATTTCTGGTTAAATGCCTTGTGGATACTCTCCAAAGCAAACAAATGAAGTTTAGACACATTCACCATTTTCGTGCTCTAATATGATGTTATGAGTTACCCAAGCAGATTTGTTTTGCCTTGGGAGTGGAAAATGTTTTTGGGCATTAACTTGTTTATTTCGAAATTTTATTATTTTTATCTAAATATAATAATTACAATTTCGGATATTATTGCCTTATTTGGCTAGATTAAACAAAAGATACTTATTTTCATCATATAAAAAATTGAATAAAACTTAGGTCAAGTTCCTAATAACGATAAGGTCCATTTATCAATTCAAGAATTTATACATTTACTATTTTTTTTCCCTTTAGGAGTTAAGTGATGATGTGGAAAAAATAAAACATGTGGCACAATTTCATTGGATAAATGAACCTGATGGTTATAAACTTGACCTAATTAAGTCTGTCCTAAAAAACTACGATGGATACAATATTATAATCCATGGTAATCATCTTCGATCTTCGTTCTTCAAAAAATTAAACATAAGAGAAATTTCTCATGTACCAAATCATTTTGTATTTTATTCTTTTTATTTCAATCTATAACTAACGCACTAAAAAAATAGCTGATTATTCCATTACTAATTAGTAAAAATTTCATCGCAAGACAAGTTAACGATATAATTAGCAACAAAATATTTTTATAGGTAAAATCACTATCACTAATTCATTATCGATGAAATTTGCAATTTTGTCACTAATTAATAATGGAATTAGTGATGAAATTGTATTCTGCCGCTAATTAGTGACAGAAAATTTTTATTACTAAAGAAGAATAGGCTATTCTAAATCCATCGCAAATTGATTAAAGGATTTATTCCGTTGATAATTTTTAGGCTGATCAAAATATCATTGCTACATCACCCAGTTGACCAATGCCACTTCAGCATCACCTCACCATTGCCTCACCACAATGTTTTTCTTGACGACCATATCAAATATTATTACTTTTCATTGTGTCTTGGTCAAACTCAAACTCGCAACCTCTCACCCATAGTGCCTTTGTGTCCACCTTATTGCTGGTTGACCTAAAAGGAATATTTAGTCTTAATTGATAAATTAAATATATAATACTTAATCACACACACATATATTAATAAATATATTATTTAAATTTACTTTTTTTTTAACATTATATTTATTAATATGGTAAAATCAATTTATATATAATAATTATTTCTATTATATTTTATTTTAAAAAGTTATTTTTGATAATAAATTTAATATTAAATTTAGAAATATTTTATAATCATTATATATTATATTATAATTTGTATCTATATAATATATAATATTTTAAATTTTTAAATTATTTTATTAATATCTTTTATTTCATTTTTATTTTTAAATAAGAATTATTAAGTATAAAATTTCAATTATTATTATTAATATAAAAATTTTAAATTATTATTTAATATAGCATAATAATATATTATTAAATAAATTATATATAAATATATATTAAAAATAATAAAATTAAATTAAAAATAATTTGTGATAGAATTGGCAACAGAATTATAACAAGAAACTTTGTCACAAAATTTTCTGTCGCATATTCTGTCACTAAATTAGAATAAGATATCTTAAAAATTAACAACAGAATATTCTATCAATAAATTCTGTTGATAAATTATTTCTAAATTAGTGATAGAATAATGATAAAATTTTAGCAACAGAATATTTTGCTGTTGAATTCTATTGGTAATTTAGTGATGAATTCTGTCGCTAATTTACTATTTTTTTTTTGCAGTGAGGAATAGGGCCTTTAAATTGCATATTGGCTTCTAGAAATTTTGAGATATAAAAGAATAGATAGTAGTTCTTTTATTTTTTCAGGTAATTATACAGGTTGCAGGTGAATATTTCAAGCTAAACAAGGAACTAAGAGATAAGACTCTCGAAGTGAGGTATTAATTAATTTTTATGCTGTTAGAGATTTTTTATAATCAGAGATGCTATAGTTTGTTTATTGTTGATTCAAATATGTTGTTCTGCATCTAATTACAGACGGCTCAATGGAGAAGAACTGCAAGAATAGTCCTTAAAAGATATAAGAAAACTAGAAGATTTACTTAGCACAAGCTTGCATCGAATTTCAAAAGCAAAGGTTTGCCTTTTTCCCTTTTTGAGAGCACTATTTTTATTTGTATGGTTTACATTATCAGCATTTGATCTCTCCGCTTTTTAGTTTTTCAATGTAGCAACATAGAATATGAGAAATAAATGACGTAAAAATTATATATGGTGAAGATCTCAATAGGTTAAATTGATATTGCATTTTCAATATAAAGGAGGGATTAGATCACGTGGAATTATAAGAGAGAAGTTAAGGCTAGTGATGTAGGGAACTTACTCCATTTCTCTTGGGTTGTTTGGTATTTTTACACTTATTTGCCTCCTATCAAAGCTATCGTTGCTTCTTCACTTCTTTCTTCTAAGCGGAAAAGGAATTAGAAAACTAGAGTTTATAATGTGTAGGGTTCGCTTTGTGAAATGATTAATATATTAATATATATACCTTATGAAATCGTTAGTATATTAAAAATTTAACATTAAATATCTTTTCTAAAAGGAATTATTTAGATATATGAGGATAACCATATATGGGTAATTTAATCTCTTGTAAATATCATTTGCCCTTTTAGTCTATGCTGATATTTTACGTTTTTTCTACTATTTTCCCTTAACTTTGCTTGATTCTGATTAAACCACAAAACTGTAGAATTCTTTACATGTTGATCCCTATGAATTTTCATGGTAGTCCCTTAATTTTGCGATGTTACATAAACATCCTCTTCTCTAACTCACTATTTAAAAAGCAAACTTCCTATACCAAAAAAAAGAAGCAAACTTCACATGAAATCATCAATACACAGGTAATTGCAATGACTAAAAAACCAAAAATAAAGCAAAACTCTCAGTTTGTTCAAGTTGAGAAACAATGAAAAAAAAGTCTCCTCAAAATCCACACCTTCATGTTGTGAGTATCCTCTAGAAACAAGGTGAGCTTTGTGCTCTTAATTGCTTCCATTAGTGTTATACTTCATCATTTGGAATGCCCATTGGAGCCCTATAACATTTTGTGCCTTCAAGAACATCATCCAACTCTTATGTTGGCTTGTTTGAATATCTTGCATCTCCTCTATCATATCACCTTGTGACGATCCTAATTTTTCTATTGCTTCTTCAAAAGAAGTTGGGTTAGAGACATACACAACAAAACCACAAAAAGCATAGAAAACTGTGAGAAAAGGAACATTTACTTTGTTCACTTGAAATGTCTTCTTTGTACTCGTTTCTTGGGGTCTATTATATTTAACCTACTTTCGTGGGCTAACAAAGAACCCATTAATTTATTAGTAAAAATAACATGTAAATTATGAAATAGCATGTAGGTTCCTTATGGTTGTGATTCATTTGGCCTAAAGTTAAAACGCAATAACAAAAAATAGTAAAAGTAGGTAGAGTAAATCAAATAATGAGATTTATCTTGGTTTATTAGTCTTGCTGCCATGTCTGCTAAAGAATACTATTTGAGAGATGAGAGATTAATTTTTCCCACTAAAACAAACATGATTAATAGTACAAAATGTGATTGTGTGAATACCATAAGTGTATGGGTTATATTAATAATAAAGTGATGAGTACAATATTGTTCCCGCATGAGAACTTAGTATGTTCAAATAACAATGTTGAGCATTAACTTAAAACATTCATTTTTAATTTGCACAAGATATATACAACTAATTAATTATATGTTGAAAGTTAACACAACCACTATGGCAACTGAGAGTTACTAATCCCCTCATGGTTTTCACTTACTCTTTTGAAAGCTAGATTTCTTGTCACAATGTACCAACTCTTGTCAATTACTCTCTCTAATCCTTTTTAGCCATCTCACGGATTTTTTTTAAAGAATCTAAACTATGCAATAATCTAGCCAAATAGTATCATTATCATTTTAAAGCTCTTTGATTCTTAAAAATACTGAAATTAAATATCTGAAAATTTTCTAGATGTAATAATTAAAATTTAACTTTTGGCACTCCAAATCAAACCACTGAAACCTACAAAGGACAATATATAATATAAAATTAGAGTGGATCAATACTTTTTGCTATTCACTACAACATTCCCTCTCCTTTTTTCATATATTCCTATTTCATTTGTTCTTGGTTTGGATGGAGGAAAAAAATAGAGAGGAAGGAATAAAAAATTACTATTTTTAGAAGTTTTACTTCCTACTATTCTCTTCTATCTATTTTCCTCCCACTTTTAAATTTCCCTCTATCCAAACCAAGCAAGCAATTTATGAAATTATGTGTATGGCATGGTAATAATTAAAATTGAAATTAATTCCATGTATTTCAGGTTGAAGTATATGAGCAGGAGATCAATATTCTTTAGGAAAAGGTTAGAAGTAATGTTTATTTGGCAAAATTAAAGCATCGCCTATGCATTTTGTCTTTTCCTCTCTGTTGTAAGAAGAAATTATTAATAATCTCTAGGGTCATTAGTGTTAAGAAATTTTAATTTTTTTAGTGTTTGCTAACATATAAGATGTTTAAATTAAATTTGGTTGGCCAATATATATATATATATATTAAAAAAATTAAGGACCAAAAATATGAAATATATGTATTATATAATTGTCATAGATAGAGAATAATTATCTTTTCATATAAGCCTTCTAAAAATCATATATATATATATATATATATTAATTGGATTGAATGTATTATCAAACTTCTCACCTCTCCAGCAAAAACACAAACCACTAAACCTTTTATGCTACTCTGTCTATACTTTTTATCTTTCATCTAAAATTTTTTTATACTTTAATTAGGTTTAATTTTTAGTCCTTATAATATATTTTCATGGTTTTCCATAACTTAGTCATCCAATGGGTTTAATGGCATTAAGTCTATCTCAACAAAAAGTAACACCATTTTGACTATTACATGGTCCTTATTACCGGCGTAATATCTAAGGCACCCCCTTCATTTATGCTATGGCTTAACGGTGTTAAGTCCATATCAGCAAAAAAAAGGGAAAATAAAAAAATTCATTTCTTTGACCCATCAAATAAGCCCTTGTTTAATAAAGATTGCAAAATATCACAAATTACACACTCCAAGATACAAAAAATTCAAACTTCATAAACTCACATATAAAACTAAGAGTCTCATACATTTTTCTAAATACACAAAGTCAACACTTTAAATATGCACAAAAACTAAACATTGTACATCTGATCAAGTATAATTAGATCTAAAATATAAGATACTTTGACAAAAAATAAGATTTTATTAATTATACTTGTTTCAGTACTATGCTTTCCTCCTTATTATAAATATATATATATATATATATATTCAATGTCTCACAAATAAGGTTAGATTAAATGAGATGTATTTTTGAAAATTTATATTTTTTTAAAAAATAAAATTGTAAAGTATATTTAATGAATTTTATTAGTATGCGTAATTTTTCAAAATCTATCTTATAAATTGAGACAGAAAGAGTATTAACGACAGGATGGGAGCAAGTAGTACATCTCTTAGTACCACTATTTCTTCTAACCTATCATCTTTCCCTTCAATTAATCTTATTTCTCATTCTTTCATATGACGAGGGGATTGAATGAGGGCATTTCAGTCAACGTATAGTAATATTTTACATTAATAAAAGATTTCTTAATCTTTGTGTATAACATTAAGTAACAATAGATATGAAATGGTTGTAGGAATATTTTCTTCAATGGAACAACCTGGCTTAGTACGTTGTGAGTCTTCATTCATGTCTCTGATTTTGTTTTAATAATATGTTTCATTTTGATGTCAATAAAGGAAGCCAAACTCACAAAAGAAAACCAGAGACTAATTAAGGTGGTCATTCTTGTCATTAATTCTCTCATTAATTTCTTATTAATGTGTCTTCATAGTGATAATGTCTCATTTTCCATGTTTTTAAACTTAATTCCAATTCAGGAAATCAAATCCATGGAAGAAAACGAGACATTAGATCAGGGACTCAGGTTTCAAATTCTTATGTTTCTCATTTTTGTCAGTTCTTATTTGGAAATTGTATCAAACCGGGAAATAAAATTGTGTTGATAATAGGCCCAATGGTTTGAGCATGAACAAGGCCAGGCATTAGACACTTCTCTCACAATGAGGTAAGTTGCCATAACCTCCTTTGTGAGAGCTGTGTTTTATTACTTGCTTTCTTTTTTTTTTTTATGGACATGATTGTAGGCCGGGTTTCTAGTTATTGTAGATTAATTATTTAAATCCGGATAATATAATTTTTAGTCTATAAATTTTCTCTTAATTATTAATTTAGTCCTTCAATATAATTTTAACTGACTACAATTCAATCTTTGTAATTTATTCAGCTAAGGAATTATAGGAATTAAGTTGTATCAAATCAAAAATTATAATGACTGGATTGTTTCAAGTCAAGAAATTTATGACTGATTAAAGTCAAGCAATTATAATGATAGAGTCATCCCAATTCAAGAAACTAAAAGGATTGAGTTTTTTTAAGCCCAAGTTCAAGAATTGAATCAATAATTGAGATCAAATTCAAGGACCAAAAGTTATATTTTTTCATTCCAGCCCCTCAAAAACATGTATTAATTGATTATGCATTGTATAAAAATTTTCTTGGATACCAAGGAGCACTTGGTTCAATTAGTTGAGAGAGTTGAATTAATTTATCCTGAAGTCTCAAGTTCAAGTCTAAGATATACAATTGCGTTAAATAAATATGTCAAAAATATTCATATTCCCTAAGGCACCTATGACCCGTCATTGGTAACAATGGTATCACACAGCAAGGATTTAGATTAGTCTAGATAAGTGGTAGTAATGCCCTAAGTTTTCTAGGATACTAGCAGAGGGGATGAAAATATATTGGCCTAGAGCTCAAGATAAACATCACTTTTTACAACTTGTGAATAACTCCTACACTTTAACCTCATATTAATATAGATGTACATGACAATGAACTTTTTGATGTTAAGCCCTTGTGGCTTACATGAATATGATTTGCAACTCATATGGATGAGTTTATTTATACTTAAACACTAAACAATTAGGATTAATATCACTTTTCATTAATTGTTATTTTATTTATTGAATGGTAGGTTACTCTTTCCCTAAATCAAATTGAAGCTTCTGAAGGAAGAAGAGCAATGCCAGATTTTTTTTTGGTTTAAAAAAATTCTGTGCTAAAAATTAAAGTACAGTGCTTGATTAATTATGAATAATGGCCAATAATGTTATATATACGTGGATAGCTCTGTTTCAACTT